GATGATAGAAGCGTGTATGTATTTTACGTGTGTGTGTGTGTGTCCTACGGATGTGTTTGTATGATGGTTTTGTTTTGTATGTTCAATCTCTGTATGCAGTGGCAACGTGTGTGTGTGTGTGTATATATTCCTGCCACCCTACCTATCTATCCATCTGTGTATGTGTGTGTTACCATATTATCCCAGATATAGATTTAATGTCAGCCTAACAGACTGGCCTGACCCTGCTGCCCTCCTTCTCTTTAAGCCCTTTAAAGGAGATGTATTCAGAATCGAAGACGGGCGACCGGAGCTGAAATACCAGCGTGCCCAGGCAGCGGCCGTACCTTAATGGGATAGACGACGGCCTCTTTGACTAATCGCTTTGCGTCCTCCAGGCCGATGATGTCCTCCCACCGCACATTGGGGCTGTGCAAATAGATGTCCTTTAGGGGTGAACACACACACAAACACACAGTGAGGGATGCATGCGGAAGATAGCAGCTAGAAATGGACGCGCGCACACACACACACACACACACACACACACATTAAGCTTGTGTAAATAGGTGTCCTTTAGAATGAAACATCAGATAAGGGAAATAGATAGAACCTGGGCCTTCATTAATACAACAGATCAATTCATTCACAACAAAGCTCTGCACTGCTCTCTAATGGACATATTCGGTATCGCATAAATCACTGACAGCATACTTTCACATTCTGTGCCACAAGTTCAAAAATCAGCTCCTCTACATGTTTGTTTTGAAGCATGCGTGGTTCTTGTTTGTCAGCGTTTGCAATATAGTATTTGAGTGTGTGTGTAGTACCCTGCTGATGATTGCAGCCAGTTCTCTCATCTCACCGCTCATTCCAGAAAAGCCACTGAGCGGCTTCAGCAGCCGTTCCTGTAACACAGCATAAAAATAATCATTATTGGTAGTCTTGTACTATAACTAGTTTTACTATTGTTTGTATCTCATGTATTTTGTGCCATTAAAATGTCTTAACAAGTACTCAAAAAAAATCTGATATAATATTTTTGCCTGAATCTAAAATAATATGTTTTCCTGATTTACATGAGGCTCATCATGAGTGTTTTTTTTTTCTTCCTGTTTTGCTCAGAGGCTCCAGTGTAATTACCATGTGGTCTGAGTCAGTGCCAGATCCTTTTACAGCTTCATAGATTGAGCCCTTGCCGTCAGTCGTCTAAGCAACACAAGAATTTGACACATTTAGGGGAACATAGCCATAGTAAGTACAAAACTGACAGCAATGATTCAGTTTCCAATTTCGATGAAGAGGTGTTTTACATGTTTATCTGTTTATGTGCATGCTTTGTATTCATGCTATTTATGTCTACCCCACATACAGTGCTAGTTTAGGTAGTAATGGTTTCTTTTTTTATGGCATAAGAGTAAACGTCTCCATAAAAGTGACAAAATACACAAAAACTGCTTCTATCATCACTGAAAATGTGAGAGATCATTTCTATGTAAACATCAACAATGACAAAATTCTTATTTGATTATGTAATTTGTTGATAATTTCTAGTTTTACTGGATGAGGGTAGTGTAAATAAAATAAAAGTAGTCCATAAAAATCTATCACTTTCGTCTATAACTAACATAAATCACTCCCCAGTACCTTTCTGTTCATGGCTGACTCCCCTGCTAGTCCATTTCTGATGGAGGAAACGTTGAGACCAAACTCTGATGTCTCTGGAGGAACAGAAGAGCCATTCTCCTGGAAGAAACACAGTCATCAGGATGTCAGAATAATCCCTTTTAATTTGAATATTCTGATCATTTTTTCTATCTTCTGTGTTTAGTGCTGTACATTAGTATGTGAACTGGCAGCTGTCTTCTTGGCTGCGTTTCCAGACTGCGGGCTCTGGGATGGGTTGATTTTGGGAAGAGGCTTCACAGCTGGACAGGGACTCCTGCTGGACAAAGAGAGACACAGAAGACATCTTTCAGTGGAAGAGGTTAGGTCCACCATCACTGGTAAGTCCAGACATTGTATGACTATTACATCCTAAACATGAAATAAAAAGAAAGGTGTGAGACTCACTTCTTTACTCCACCACTTCTTGCAAATCTGTTTTCACCTTGACATAAAAAAGCAACAGAAAATATTGACCATAATTGAATTTGACACATCCCAGTCATTCAGAATTTAGCAGCAAATACATCCCATTGAGCAGGAGAACTAATTTTAGCAGTGGTTATATACCTAGTTCGGCTGTTCTCCGGATGAGTTTGGGATATCTCTGGAACTTGACGTAGTGATAGCTCTCGTACTCCATCAGCACCATCTCCAGATCGATGTTATCACAAACCTCGAACCTCCTCACACCTCCATTAGTCTCCTGGTCCAAGGCCAGTGCTGCAGCCACGTAGCTGGCGAATGGAAAAGGTCAAAAAGTAACACAAACGAGGTCAACTATGTCTGCTGTGAGAGCCCGAGGAATCCAACGTGATTTAGTTTTGATGTGTTTTGCTGATGAATTGCATGTAGCCTATAAAGTCCAACACTTTCCGTACAGGCACACACACATACATACACACTGCCTTCTGCAGGCTTGTTACTATAAACCCAATATAAACTGGCACAGTCTTTATATTACTTATATTACTGTTACTCAAACTAAGACTGGGTCTAGGTTGCAACATCACGACTCATCAATAGCTGTCCTGTTCAAAAATGTCTTTGTGTACAGCAAACAAACCCAACCTGCGCTTTAACCTTTACCTTGTTCCAAGAAACTCTAGGCGAGACCACCATCTGCCTGCTAAAGAATGAGCAAACACCATACAACATCCAAAATGTCACATTTCATACTGACCCTTGCCCCAGCAGGTGTTGGTAAATGAGGATGAGGAGGCTCTTCCTCCTCATCTCAGTCCTCAGCTCATCCTGTTGGACAGCAAACACAGAACACTGTCAGCACTGACACTCAGTAGCACTAACACTAACTTCTGCACTAATGTTTCCAGTCATCCAAAGTTTGGTTCAGTCCCTGTGTGGCACTATCTGTGGTTGGATTGTCATTTTTTTTTTAACTTGAAATAGCATTTAATGCATAAGTGGAAAAACATTAATGACGGCTTTGTTCCAAAATGACTATGTGTGCCAGTAAGTCATGAAATATATACGCTAAATACCATGCAGCCCTTATTAATTATAATAATAACACCTGTGTTTCACAAGTCAAAATGTTAAAGCAACACTACTCGAGTATTAGTTATATTCGAGCTGCCTTTCCTCTCCTGGTGGTTCACACACAGTGCGGAGTACTGGGATGTGCTGGGGAGAGAAAGACTACCAGCAGAGGGCGACAGAGTGCCACAACTGACGAGCCACCCGACTCGGTAACTAGGCAACCAGCAGACGCCGATTACCTGCGGCTCTGATGCATGCAGTGCTAGCCGGATTAGCCCAACGGCTAACTGCTTCGCTTTTAACGCAAATTGTGAAAGTCCAGCTGCTGTTTGCTTCATAACGTATGCGTAAAATACAACACCCTGGCCCTGGACACATGTTATGATAACTCTAAAGTTAGTGCCACCCGTTAATGTGGCCAACCAGAGGTGACGTTATCTCTACGCCCCTCTCCCCAACTAACCACTGCTAGTTAGCTCAAAGTTGTTAGCTTGCCAACAGCTGTGCGTCAAAGCAACCGACACTGCGTCACTCACCGCCTCCCGGGCCTGATGGGCGACTTTCATAGATTGATATGAGAGCTCCATCATGATTGTGAAGGGTCAGTGAGACAGTGAGTCTGTCTGTCTGCCTGCCTGTCTGTCAGTTTTCTGATGGGCAGTTGTTTCTGAAGCCGAGTTTTCGTGTGGCTCTAGTTTTCCCCTCGGGGCTACCGTACATCCAGGTGTAATGTGACTATCCGGTCTCTCCCCTGTGTGTGTGTGTGTGTGTAAACACTACTACACATGATGCCTACATTATACATTAACAGTGAGCTTGTATTAGCAAAATAGGGGTAAAGTACCCCTGTTTGGAAATGTACGTAATTTATTCTAAAGTATAAAATAAAACAGCTTTTTTAAATTCTTCATTACAAAGCCAAACATGTTTATAAGTTAAAGGGGGTTAGGCATGATATAAGGTGTGGTTGAGAGTTGTGAAAAATATGATAAATAAATATTATGTTACCAATAATTAAAACTGGCAAGTTTAAATAAACTATATTTAAAGAACAATATCTGATAGTATCGTACTTCTACAGCACATCACAAAGGCATGCATGTTGATATTAAATACAGAACTCGCAGGTAAATAGCACTGTTGTTGTGATATTTAAGTTTTAGTTGTTTTAGCTCACAAATATTGCCATCAGCTGAAAAATATAACTGCAGCCACATTATGTTGTGATGTAAACAGATTTAAATATCAAGTGGCTCGATACTGCATATGTCCACTAGAGGGCAGGGACGAGCTTTGTTGTGAGTAAATGAAGCTATGTATTAATGAAGGCCCAGGTTCTATCCATGTCTCTTATCTGATGTTTCATTCAGAAGGACACCTGTTTATGCAAGCCTAATCGCACAAGGATGCGTGTTAGTGTATGTACACAGACTGCCTTTCTGCTAGTGTGACTGGGAATCATGTTCTGTATTATTTTATTGTTTGTATCCATCTTTTGTATATATTTTTCCACTTGCATCCATAACTTTGTGTTTGTGTTCACTCCTAAGACATCCATTTGCACAGGAGGACATCATCGGCCTGGAAGACACTGAGCTATTAGTCAAAAAGGCCGCCATCTATCCCATTAAGGTACGGCCGCTGCCTGGGCACGCTGGTATTTCAGCTCCGGTCGCCCGTCTTCGATTCTGAATACATCTCCTTTAAAGGGCTTAAAGAGAAGAAGGGTGGTGGGGTCAGGCCAGTCTATTAGGCTGACATTAAATCTATATCTGGGATAATATAGTAACACACACATACACAGATGGATAGAGTGAGGAAGGGACATCAGGGTGGATATACAGTACATAATATAAACACACACACATACAGGCTATGATATGTAGAACATGTACAAAAGAGTGCACTTCCACACACTCTCACACACATTTAAAGTACACACACCCACCTGAAATACATACACGCTTCTATCATCATCACCTGGGCCTCTCTCATGGATATGATGACAACAAATCAGGTTGTCTGCATCCTCTTGACATTTACAGACGGAGATGAGGACTGATGCGTCTATCCTCTATTCCGCTGGCCTGTTTTATTGAATAACACCATCTGTTCGCGCAGCATCCCTCCACCTACCCACGATCCCTAACCTCATCTCTATTTTTATTAACTCTCTGGAGTATATAAGATCAGTTTTGTGATTTCACTCAGCTTGTGTTTACCACCATAAATAACCCCTATTGTTTATTTGTTTGTATGTTTTTTAGAACAACGGCATCTGTGATGGAGCACATACTGCCATTAGAAGTCACTGGGATGTAATACGCACTGGGATTATAGCCTTCTGGGTTGAATGGTGCTGAAAACCACTATATGACTTTTAAGGCCCAGCACAGGTGAGTTCTTTGGAATTGATCTTGATTAAGTGTGCATGTAGAAACAGGTAATAAACCAGGCTTATATCATTTTCCTTCAAAAACATTTATTTCCTCTGGCACTGTCAGTTTTCAGCTTTACCTTACAGTAAATTGCACTTTCGAGCTTTTAAGTACGGTTTTTTTTTTGCCATCCATCCATGACACCATGCTGCTACTGATGCATATAAATCAATTACCTCCAGTGTAGGGTGGTAGAGTATAATACAGTATAATTGAATTCCATATAAACACTATATGTGACTCTGCTGGTTCAGGCATCAGTCTGAAAATAAGGCTTTTTCATCTGAAAAAAGGTTGACACTAGGAGTTGGTGGATTCAGCAGCAGTTTACTTGTGCAGTACAATTCCAAGTAAAATACACAAATGATAATTCTAAATGACAATGATTTTCTGCTCAATGTTATTCTACAATGTAGAGGCAGAAGCATGTAGATAGTGTTTTGTTTTTGCCCTGTTGGGCTAGTGCAAAGTTCCAGACAATGAACGGAGGCTGAGACCACTGTAGCCAAGTAGTCTCACTTACTCGGAGCACAAAATGATTCAAGTTTCTCTCTGCAGTTACATTTTCAAAATGATTGTACCAACTCTATTTAAGCTCTTAAAGCGCTCTGAAATATTTCAGATGCAGTTTACAAATTCAATCCATCCCATTAAATGGATTAATGAGATGTGTATATTACAGTATAACACGTCAGAGGTCTAAAGTACAGAACAGCAGTGCTTCTCTTCCATCTACTTAGCCACATAGAATTACATTTCAAAGGCACCCCTACATTTCTCCAAAGACATATCTGTGGATGTTTACCAGCACCAGTATGCGGTGTACAATTTCTTTTCAGTTTGAAAATAATTCGTAGGGCTACAAATGTGATTAGATTTAGTGAATAAACCTCTCCCAAAAATGACTGAACCCTTACACATTAAGCCTGTACTTCTTGACTTTGGTTTCTGTGAATGGTTTAAGTTAGATCTTCGTTAAGAACCTGGTTTACTTAGAGTCCACATGCATATAAATATGAAATGGGTATTTACTAAGAAAATAGTGGTTTTGGCTTTGCTTTATATAGTTCAATCTTTTTTTTTTCCAAGCCAAATTGCATTGCATATTTGTTTTTAAAGTAATTCCTTGAGCCCTACATTTGACGGTCAACAGCAAGTTTTCATATCACAGCTTCAGCATTTTAATAGTCAGTATTTATTTTTATAAGTGGTTGGTTGCTAAAAGAGTCAATACTCAAAAGCCTGGTAATAAATTACTTCCAGAAGAATCTCAGATTTGGCAAGACTGTAAACTACCTGTGAAAACCGCCGATGAAGCTCGATTCTTTAAGCCAGATCCTATAAAAATACAGACGCCGTGTTTTATGGGTACTTAAGACCTCACTAACTGTGTCTGCAGTTTGAGCTCTCACTGTGTAGAGGGCGGCGGGCTACGGCGTGATTCAGAATGACTTGTTCTCTTGTTCTTGGGTGTTAGTATTTTAGTGAGCCGTATAGCCTTTAAGTGAGTGGTAAATGTTGCACTGCTGTTGATGCAGTTTAATGTGACAGGGTAAAAGTGAAAGAGACTCAAACACTTTCTTTTGGATTGTGTTAATGAGGGGCAAGAACATGACTGTAGATGTGATCAACCGTACTGATGCAAATTTGAATTGTCTACAAGTCCAGGTACAAATATGTGAACTGTAAGTGATCTAGCACAGGAGTTTACCCAAATGCTAGATTGTTGTGGTCCGGGGTAAAATGGCTTGCGATGACAAGGAGAATTTTTTTGATGTCACTGTCCTTGCATGGGGGATCCGAGGCCTCAGAAAACTCCGGCCTCTGTGAGTAGCGTACCAGCCTCGAGCAGCAGACCCTTGACGTAGACGCGTACGGTGTAGAACATTGTGAGGAAGTCCTGTGTGCTGAACAGGGTGTCTGCCAGAGCGAACCCCAGCGTGGACGGGATAAAACCTTGGCCGTACTCCACCATCCACGTCCCGGCGCTCCACTGGACCGACGTGGCCTCGCCTACACTGTGTACGATGGTGTCACCTGTGGGGAAAGATGATTTGTTGGTCAAAACCCCCCACTATTTCATCCAAGTACGTTTACCTCATTCATTTAAGATATACAGAAAACCATTCCTGTGACAACATAAAATTGCAGATTCAAATGTGTTACCAGGGTAGTATATTTCACTCTTTGTTGTCCCCTCCTTCCACTGTCTGAAGGTGCCGGATATGATGGTGTCAGAAATCTCAGCCCAGTAACGACCTGACAGAACAAGAGAGCAGAGATGGAGTCAAATTTATGTTGTTTCCTATACAGATTGATCACCAAATGCTAAGTTGTCACAAGCAACAAGAAAAAGGCTCCCAAGTATTTATGTTACATGTAAAATACGTAAGCATGTACTGCGTATTTTGTGTTATTTAGATGGCTCTTTTCTTTCATCAAACGTCTTTAACAACTCAAATATCATCACTGTTGGAACCGATCCTTTATTCCTCACCTGAGTGTCCTCCTGTGTCCACTGCAGTACCAAACAGCAGCAGGTACTCTGTGAGCGAGGCATGGAGGAGACACATGGAGCCCATCCAACCTCCGGCGTTCACAAACACCCACTGCAGGTCCTCGTCTGGCAGAATGTGGCCAGGATACCTACAGTTACACTTTATTAGCTGTTTTTTTTAAAAACACACACCAGAACTTAAATCCCTGACCTCATAAAACACACAAACACATCAGACAAGTTACTGAAAAACAGAAATGATAAGTCGACTGTCTGAACATGGGTCAATCACAATTTTAAAAGTTGATTTGTCTCTTTTTTTCATATATTTTTGGGGCTGTTTTCCTTTATTGGATATAAGACAGCCAGAGATTGACAGGTAAGGGGGGAGAGAAGGGGGTGACAGGTCGGATTCAAACCCATGGCCGCTGCAGTAAGGTACAGCCTTGGTACGTGGTGCCCCAGTAAGTGTCTGAATGTGTCTCTGATGCAAAATAATGTAATCATTACCTCTTCCTGAGCTCCACCACCACTTTGGAGAAGGCCTGCTCATGGTCCTGTCCTGAGATTAGAGACATTTACAGTATTTAAGGAAGGCAGGGAGGAGGACTACTCGGGCCACAAACCATCGTGTAGTTTTACTTTAAACTGCATTGAAGTGAAGTGCATGTGGGTCTCGACTCGATTCAGACGTCAAACTCTTCCTCACCAAACTCACCTGCGTACTGTTTGGCCAATTTGGCGATGTCTTCTTTGTTGAAAACGTATTGCTTGGTGGCCATCCACTGCCGCAGCAGCAGCACGGCCAGGACGGAGACTGCGGTGAACACAAACACTTTAAAAAACGTCCTGGCTACAGACATGGTTAAAACTACACTCAACAGACAGAGACACAGCAGCAGGTTGGACTACACGTGGGAAAAGAGGCAGACAGGTTGCTCCAAACACGCCATCAGCAGAGGAGGCGTGGGGTCCAAACGACAGCTTCTTCCTGGTCAGGTGGGGGCGGGAAGGGGCTGCTCGGCCAATCAGAGGACGAGGCAGCCGCACAGGCGACGGCAATTTCAGGGTTGCCAGCAGACTGTAAAACCCCCTTTAGGTCGTTTTTATTTATTTTGCTTAGTTTATATAAAAATAGTTACTCACCAAGATACATTTTGAGAAGTTCTGTTAACTGTGATCATATTGTTATTATTTGGTTGTTTACGCCCTTTTTTTTCTTACTTTTAGAGCTTTGTCATCACGTGCTGATTTATCCGTAAGAGCCACGTTTGTGCTCTCCTGTAAAAACAGGAAGCAGCTTTTGTGTGGACAGTATTCAGCAGCTGTTAGTTCAGAAGGAGCTGGTGGTTCAGTGAACTGACAGCGGAGGTTCCCGAACAACACTGACCGACATGAGCGGCACAAAAGAAGTCAGCTTTGATGCGAAAGGTACGGAGCTTTGGGAACTTAATAAATTGTAAAGCTGGTTTCATTCATCCGGGAACTGGAGCTGCAGAAAGTGTTGTTTACGTCTTTACAGAGAAATAATTCCAAGTTCAGAAACACTTACCTTTCCTTGCTTAACGCCAAATCCACACGAACAGTATTTACAAGTGCCTAAATAGGATACACTATTGAACTTCGCATGGATTTAGCACACTACCGACACACACTATTGCTATTGTCGGCTTACTGTGTCCATAAAGTCACTGTAAACGCGTGCAATGAAAGTTGAACAATTTATCAAACCAACGTGACCCTTCGTGGATTATTTACAAGCCGAATTTACTTGTGGGTCCTAGAAATTCATAAAATGTCGTAAAAAATGTATTTTACGTCGAAGCGGGCTTTTCCGATATTAGAAAGACTTCAAATTAACATATTTTTCAACGGAGTTTGTTCACATTGAATTTCCCTGTAAAATAAAACGTATAGGTTCGCTGAAATCAATATGTCAATGTAAAATCGGTAAACCCAGGACAGTGATGATGATGATGATGAAGTTTATTTGTCAGGCCTGTCTGTCTGTATTGGCAGTGTGGTTATTGCTCTACAGTCTCGTGACATGAGTTCCTTCTGTTTTTACTGCTGCTGGTTGCAGCAACATTTGCTATAATCCACATATATACCTTCATTATCTGTGCCTGAGTGCTTTTGGGTGGGTTTAAGTGTTTGTTGCTTATGTGTAGTAACTATAGCATTATATTTTTAGCCATTTTTTATAGACTAAAGTATGTATTCTTTAAAAAAAGGAGCATTAGCTGCATCCTTGCTTGGTAACTTCCAATAAGACACATCAACACTGACCTCTACTTCAGTGGTTCCCAACCTATTACATTAAGGAACCCCTTTTCTATCACTAAGTAAACTGCAGACCAGCATATTTTTATAATAATAATAATATAATATTTCATATTATATTTAATACAATAAAAGTAGAGAACAACTGGTGAACTGTACAATGAACCCAAATGGTGAACACAATAACTGCAGGAAGTTTGTGTAAATTGTGAGATTTGGATGGATTTTGAGTAGATTATTTATTTCCTGTGAATATGGGTTTTCCTAATATTTTCAGGAACTTTTTATACAATCCTCTGTCTGTGTTATGTATTCTTTTTTGGACAAATTTAGTGTTTTCTTGACTGTTCCATTAGCTCTTTGGTAGTTCGAACTGCATACTTTTCTAATGTTTATCAGAGAGTGAAGGCTCTGTGAATACAGCTTTTGTTCAGGTCTTCAAAGTTTAGATCTTAAAAGTAATCTTAACTTTAAAAACTAAATATTTATTTTAGTTTTCTTCACAGAAATTAACAAAATGCTGAGATATAGGCCTACGGTGTATATTTTTTACTTTTGCTTACATCCCTTAAAATCAAGAAGGTCTTGTGACCCCCCTGTCAAGCTTTGGCGACCCCTAGTGGTGGTCGCTACCTCCAGGTTGGGAACCAGTGCCCTAGTTGATACAGATACAGATAAAGAGGATAAAATAGACCAGTTCATCAGGTTGACTTCCCTGCACATTCACGTGATTAGATTGGTCACTTTTTGGTGTGTGTTTGTATAATACATCGCCTTGTCTCTTGTCTCCTAAACCCCTCAGAACATCAGCACCTGCGTTACAATCCTCTGAGGGACACCTGGGTCCTTGTGTCGGCCCACCGCATGAAGAGACCCTGGGCAGGTCAAGTAGAAAAACCTCCTGAGGAACACATACCCAGATACGACCCCCGCAACCCACTCTGTCCCGGGAACACACGTGCAAATGGCGAGGTAAGAGCAGGTAAATGCATCAATTCAACAGATGCAGACATGGGCCTGCATTACACAGCTAATGGCAGCTTGTTTGGTTATGGTTTCTTTTGAACTCTGAAAGATTTAAATGGGTCTCCCAGCCTTTCAGACATAGTATTTACTACTTTCTTGTCCCACCTCAGCGAACTTTCTCGCTATAACAACTGAAGAGATACCAAAGCTACCAAACAACATAGGCCCACATAAATGCTATTTGCTTCGGACGACAAAATACATCTTGTGTTTTGTTTTTTATGCCTCTGTGTCTGTCTGTTTCTCTCCAGGTAAATTCAGACTATGACAGCACTTTTATTTTTGAAAATGACTTCCCCGCTCTGCAGCCAGATGCTCCAGATCCTGGTGAGTACCATGCTGTAACAATACTGTAAGAAGTCATCACATTCAGGGGTTAAATTGGGATTTGTTGTGTGTGTGTGTGTGTGTGTGTGTTTTGTTTGAATTATTAAGACAGAGAAGATTAATAATTTTCAGTGTTAGGCACAAAATATTTCTGAGATACTGTCTTGGCACAATAAACTCTTCAGCCGTGACGAATAGTGGATCAATGTACTTGTGCCTAAAATGACAAAGATAATTAATTGTTGAAAGTGTAACACATATTATACAACATATTGAATTTTAAAACAACTTACATTTGCTGTTTTGTTCTTCAGGTTCAGATCAACATCCATTGTTCCAGTCTAAAGCTGCCAGGGGCATCTGGTAAGAACAAGGCTTCATGTCACATATTACAGGCATAATCAATATGTGCCTTCTTACTGTGTGAAGGTTTAACCGTTATGTGTAATTATTATTATTTGGATTGATGCACTCCCACATGCCAAGGGACTGAAGATTTAATGCTAAACTAAATCTGTTCCAATACATCAAATAGCAACATTTATGTTCGATATTGTACCTGCTCCTTTAATACAATGCTACAATGAGATCAATATTAAACACATAATATAAATGAACATGTGGTTGGAAGGTTAGAATTTGTTCAGGGATGCATCTTAATCAGTGTTCCTTTTTAAAAATGATGATGCATTCAAATTTATGACTAATTAAATCTGAACTGATGAGTGCAATCAGAGCAGTCATGCTGAGGCACCTCTCATTCATTGTTATGATCATCATCATCCTAATCAGCTATTAGGGGAAGCTAATTTTGTTAATCAACGCGCTGCATGCCACCTGTTTTCAGGACATGGAAAACAAAATCACAAATCCACACCACACACACACACACACACACTAAGATGTGTGTGTATCTTCTGTGACGCCAGCAGATGGGGATGTTTTCTTACCACTCCTTTTTATAGGAACTGGATGCTTGAACGTTATGATGACATGGATTTCAGTCCAGTGTTATTCATCCCAGACCTGGTGTGATGGTAAATAGGGGATAAGAGCTTTCCCTGTGGCCAAAGCTTGCTTATTTTTGGGAGTATCTTGTATTCAGACATGAAATGTGGACTTGACAAAGTCAGTGGATGGGCTGAAGAGCCAAACACGAGAGTTAATCCTTTGTTAGCGCGCACTTACATACAAAGTAGCGTATAATTACGGCGCCAACTGAAACCTAAGATGCACACAACATTTGCTTATAAGGTTGGATCATGGATCAATAAGTGAAGCTTCATGACATATGCAACCCACTCAGATTTCATATCATATCAAAGATATATGGTTTGTCAGTCTGTAGATAACAGTTGTTTTGTTTTTTTTATCTTGAAAGACGCTCATGAACAATCCCACATTTCTCGAATCCTTGGATGATTCTGCCTGACAGCAGAGTTACACAACAACTGAATAATAGATTAAATCAAAACACTGTGCTGCATGTGCTGGTTGAAAACAGTGCTCAGAGTTTAAATCCCATGTGTTGGCAGATGTTGAGGCTGTCAGTTTTTTCTTTCCAGAGACACTCATAAGAGTAATGAAGCAGAGAAACAGCACTGATTGGCGTGTTGCGTTGTCTTTGTATTGATTGTTAAATTTCACACTGTTCTCCCACACAGATTCAGTCTTGCCCTGAAGCAAAATTCAGAGATCCAATTAGAAGAAAAACAAAACGGGAAGTGAGATTTTGGGGATTTGGGTCATGGGAGACAAACGAGGAATGGGGTGAGGGAGGAGTTGACAAAATTCCTAATGACTTATTGTATCACCCTTTCTCATACATTCCCTCTCAGCAGAATGGTCCTAAATCCTGTTGCAAAAGATTTGGCAACACTTTATTGTACAGCCCTGATATAATTGCCTTGAAAGGAACTGTTCCGAAGAATTGCCCTGGATATGACTGACAAACAAAAATCGAATATTGTCTTTCTGAATTTTAACAACGTGAGATCATGCACTTCACAAAAACAATAATATATTTTTTTAATGGATCCTGGATTTTTTCCAGTCGTTCAAATTTAAGTAGTTTAAAGGATTTTTTTTCTGGAAATCAAGACCTGCTTCTAATTTGTAATTCACTATGTAAGCTAGCTCTTATATAATTCCTGCTTCTTTGAAATTCTTCCTAAATAAATGAATAGGTACTCTGTGTACTGCTCAACACTACTTAGTACACTCCATTTATCTTATTGTTAGGGAGGCACGATATGGATTTATTTTCAGCCGATACGATAACCCACAATTCCCTGCTTCTCATGGCCGATACGATTAGATAACCAATTATTTTGCACCTCTGTATTTTAAAAAGAAGTTCATAACCTGTAGTTTTTACATGATTAAATGTTTCATAGCTCTGTTCTAACCAAACTCACTGACATCACTAATGACAATAACAGTAAACAAAAAGTTCTGACTTCAAATGGTAATTTATTTTTTCTAGTAATGTTCATCATAAAACTTCACAAGAATGTCATAGAACATAAAGTCTATCAATTGTTTTCGAATTCCAAATAAATTATTATTAATATGAACCGATGGCTGGCATTTAATTATCTAGCTTATTTATAATAATATACATTTCCCAATATCTGTGTAGGAATATATTTATATCATTTACCTGTCCTGATAATTATTGTGTGTCCCTACTTATTGTCACACCAAAATACATACTTCTTCTCAAAAAAAACTTTGTTTACAAGAAGCTCAGTTAGTATGAAATTAGTCTCTAAGACATTTTTCAACCCACACTGATAAAACTAATACAACAAGGCATTTTTAGTGCTTGCTGGAGGTCTTTTTGCACACACACACACACACTGGAGTGCCGGGAGCTCATAATACTCATGAACAATTCATAAATACGACCATTCGGTTTTGCTCAGAGCATTACCACAAAAGTCTTGTTCAATTATTGATCAGGTACTAGCTGCTCCGGCCCTAAGAGTGTCTGTCAATACAAGTTTCATTTTTCTGATTCTGACTGTCGAGCTGCTATCCCCTGGGTATGATAGGTAAGGCTGAGAGAAAACATATATACATGGTATCCTCTTAAACACATACACAAACACAGACTGAGGACTTAGGCTTAACTACACACACTTCTAAACTCTGTATAAAGTGCTTAAAACATAATGACACGGTCATGTTTTTATTTCAGTTGGTCTTTTTTTTTTTCCAGCACAAAATGTTCAGATATCATGATGGATATCTTGAGTAGAAGCTGTCCTCAAAAACTGGATGTTCTGACCCCGGATATGTGTCACATGTTCTCAAATCAGTCAGTCAATCCCAGCCTGTCATCTTTCCAATTAATAATTGTTTTATTTTTATTAATATTAGAAGTCTTCTTTTTGCCCATTAAACACCCCTTTTGGATTGTAAAGCACTATATTGTATTGTTGTTTTTGTTGCACTAACAAGAATGAACTTTTTAACTAACCGCTCCATTGATATTTAAAATGATTTAGGGGAGGCAATAATATAACTGAATTAAATGCATTTCAAAGGATCAGAATAATGAATTTCAGCCCATGGAAATAATGTAGGTTAATACTGAAGTTTGGTCAAATTTGTCTGTGATAGTATTTGAGAACAAAAACATGAATCCAAATCTGCAAGTTGTTACGCTTGCAACCATTTTCCAATTTAAAAAGCCCCACTAAGAATATCCTCAACCACAAGTCCAAAGATAAGATGTCAAAGAAGACATGGGGCTATTTTTGATAAGTGGTCTCTAGGAACCTTACAGAGCATCACTTTTACTTTTATTAACCAGGCCAGTCCTAAGTACAGTTAGACCATGGGCATTTTTTAACGTATTTCATGGGAAACCCAGGCAAGACAGCAGCTGCACATTCATGACTTATTAATGACATCCAGAACAACCACATGAAACATCATAATAAATAATAAAGAAATATAGAAAGAACAAAGACAGCGTGAGAAGTGGAGAATTAACTTCTTTTGAATAGAGTTTTTTTCTTGGATCAGTGCAAGACTAAAACATTTCACACTCACAGATGCTACTGTCAAAGTGCCAAGAAGCACTGAACCCCCAATTATACTTTTTGGGAAGTTTAGCAACACAGGAACAGCAATGCTAGTAGCATGACTCTAGGTATGTTGATCTCCTGCAGACTAAAATACTATAACTATTGACCATTAGATATGGTAGAGACATTCATGTTCACTGTGAGATGAATTGTAAAAGCTTTGCATTGATTCTGTGACTTGTCATCTAGCACCATTATTTTTTTTTAAATTTAATTTGTCCAATATTCCTGTTTATCACCACATTTTGTACCGTTACTTTGCTTTTTTTATCAACTTTATTAAATTTTACTCATTACATATGATTTATTATAAAACATTACATAACAGTTTTTGAACAAAGTTCAAAACATTTATAAAGTGGATACAGCCGGGGAGTCAAAGGAGTTCAATGTCTATAAAATGCTGTATTATAAGTCCAGAATGTTCCATGAGAGGTGCTGATTTTTGTCCAGGGTTTTCCTCCATCAGAGTTCAGTGTTTATTTGTTTAGTTTGCTTTTAGTGCTAATCAGTATGCTAACACACTTAACTAAGATGGTGATTGTGGTTGTCATATAAAGCGTGCAGGTTTTTTTAATCCAGTGTTGCTAACTCTCTTTCAAAAATACTATGGAATGTCAGACAAAAGCTTGCTAAGTACACTGCTACTGTCAGTGTTTCAATCCTTAGCGCAACCCTTTTGAACTCTCAAGAAGGAGATATTTCAGTTCAGTTCTGACACGCTCAACATATTTGGACCAGTACATGGGAATTCTATGGTTCACTGTGTATCTCAAATGATATGGTGGTATTATTACACATCTAACATTTCTCCGGCCACCCTCTCTCTCTTTCATCATCTCTTTTTTCAGTAAGGTCATGTGTTTCCATCCCTGGTCTGACGTCACGCTCCCTCTTATGAAACAACATGAGGTTCTCAAGGTAATTGACAAGTGGGCAGGGCTTGTTGAAGAACTAGGAACCAAATACCCCTGGGTTCAGGTATGGGATGTGCACTCACACACACACACACTCCTCTCACATTCACACACACACATTATTGATGTAATTTCTCCCAGGGCTGGATACCTTTAAAATTGTAACAGGTAATCTTTTCACCCTGCACTCCGGCGTCACTGATCATTTCGTTTTCTGCTCTTTCCAATTTTTCATTTTAATGTGTCTTGTATTGTATTGGATAAAACTTTAATGATGCCTCTGGGCAAACTCGCAAATTCAAACAGCAGCAGCAGCAGCAGCAGCAGAGAGAGAAGGATATGAATAAGATAAGATGTCAAAGTTTATACAGCTAGCAATTAAATTTTTCCTATATCACTTGCTGAATATTACAGCAAATAAAGACACTGTGTTTTTGTTGATAGATTCAGAAGTTAGAAGATGATGTACATCTTTACTGGTTATGGTACATCATTAGATAATATAGCTGGAATGACATTCTCACTGCATCTGGAAAAAAAATCACTGCTTTTTTTATTTGTTCAGTGTGTCAACTGGCACCAAATACTTATGATCCACATAAGCTATTGCTATGACTACTAGACACCTCATGTTCTGCACTTCTGACCCATCCCCACCCTGTTACCCTAGAGGGTTGATAGATGTTGGATAGCTTATGGCATTGCATCTTTTGAAGTGTCCTAGAAGAAGGCACTGAATCACCTGGGATCCCTAAAAATGAACTATGAATAGACCAGTGTATTAACCACCAAATATCAGCACCAAGGACAGCACCATTGTCCCAGATTAGTCCGTTCATCGGTTCCTCCTGAGACAATCTTGTTTTAGTCACCTGCATCAACAATGGTTTGCTGTATTCGGTCCTTGAGAGAGACCTGTCCTCTTTGATCTTTGACTTCTTAAGGAAAACAGAATTTCCTTTAGGTCACAGCCCAGTGCTCACATCAATGCACCACCAAAATGTTCTTCTTTTCTTCTGTTCTTATCTTTGTGGTCATTTTAGCTTTGCCCATGCTTGCTGTACGTACAAGTGAAAGTACAGGCACATTCACTTTTCCTCTTATTTTCTGTTTTTAGATCTTTGAGAATAAAGGAGCTATGATGGGTTGTTCAAATCCACATCCTCATTGTCAGGTAGGACATGCACACATGTACACGTATACATGAAAAGGGTATTCATTTGACTGACCAAATGTGTAAACATTGAGCGATTTCCACTACATGTATAAATGAAATGTCCTTGAAGAAAGAATATGAAGTTCAGTAATACATAAATTGACACACATACACAAGCCACTTCTTTCAATACAGCTACTTTCAAGGTGCAACATTAACATCAAATAACAAATGCTTTTATCACATGAGCACAATACAATTTGTGTCAGTGGTCCAATTTGCACGTCTTTGGCTTTTCAGATTCACTATAACAGTGATGTGTTGAAAAGGAGTCAGACAAGTCTCAGCATAGAAGCTGTTAATTGACTCTTCATTTAGAAATTACCAATGACTGTGTGCCTTTGCCATATTTTATGTAAAGTGCACATTTGTCTATCATTTATTTCCCTTTCTGATTTACAAACACGAAACACATTATCACGTCTATATTACTGTTTGGGCATTTTCTTGTCTTTTCATGTTTGCCTATTCAGGTGAGTCAGGCAAGATTAACCACTCAGAGCGAGAGCAAGAGACAGAGACATTTCCTTTCAAACTGTCACTTCGCTGTGTGATGCTGAGAAAGAGAACAATCAGAAGGGAGAATGACAAAAACAGAAGGGACGGTTAGCTTTGGTAGACAAAGTGATATATGGAATTTTAAACAGCAGTACTGTTGTCAGTGTGGTCAAAATAATATGTCAGCTATCCAAGCAACGCAGGAAACCAATAAAGCTGCACGAAGTACACGAAGGAAGACAAAGCCATCAGTATCAGTATTTATGTGTACAGGTAATATCCCTTCATTCACTCTCCCAGTGGGGAAATCTGGGTAATAAACTATGAGAATATTAAGGACTTAAATCAGTAGTCACATTGAAATGTACATAAAGATTCCTTTAAGAATAGTGAATTATTCACTGCTGTCCAGTACAGCAGCAGTTTCCTCACCTTCATGCGTATTACGTGTGTAAAGGAGTCTAAACCACTATCAGTAAAAGGCAGAACAAAATGGTCTTAATGACAGTAGAATATCATATTGCCACAAAAAATATGTGACATTTAAAATGAGGAAAGTTGCAAATGTTTACTGTCTCTGAGGTGAGGACAGAATCTCATTAAAGGTGTTATTGAAACGTAAGAGTCCTGCAGCTGATTGCATTAATAAGTTCCTCCTCTCTGGTTTATCAGTTACATTTTAAGTCCTCAGGCTTTTGGAGTAAAATGTATATTTGACTTCCAACAGGAAAGGTAAAAACAAGGGCCGAGAGCTGTAATATACAAAATAACAGCAGATGGCAGTGTGTGACCTCAGAATGACATAGTTTTAACACACTATAGATGTTCCATGACCAATATGTCTCCTTGTTGAGGAGTGTTATTTGTTTGTTACTTTAGAAAGTTGCTTTTAAAAAACAAAGTCAGATACAACCACTGTGAAAGGAGAAACTTTTTTGATTAAGATGGTTTATGTAATAATAATAATTTATGTAATACGTGTATATAGCTGTTGTCAAAGTCTTGTTTGTAGTTGCTGCCAAATCACAAGAAACGTGTTGTTTTTATATGATCCAGTATAAAAGAAAGTCAAACCTGGATCCAGGCTTTGATAGAGCTTTTTAAAAGTTTTAGCAGTTTTGTTCCTTTTTTCCTACAGTCCAGATTTCCCTTTCTTAAGACATCAAAGTCCAAGAAAATGAGTAGTGTGTGTGTGTGTGTGTGTGTGTGTGTACAGCCAGACAACCCCTCCAGGCCAAAATGTAAGAAGCAAAGATCTAAAACTTTGAAGAATAACGAACAGAAAATGTTAATCATGTTCTGGAGGCAGCGTTGCTTCTGATAACTTTGGTCTCATAGGAGCAGAGCTGTATGTATTTTTATGTAAGTGGAGGAAGGAAAATGTATGCCTCCGGAATAGTAATATCCTTTTTTTTACGTAAGTAGCACAAACTATATACAGTATGAATTCTGTGAAGTGCTCAGAACGTTTTTGAAAACATTTGCCTCTCAGGTGCAGATGGGTATTGAGTTCATATTTGCTCCCGAAGTACGTATTTCACTCTTGAAGAGAAACACTTGGAAGTTAAAAGGACCGATGGTATCATAATAGCTAATAAGAGTGATACCTTGTGGGAATAGAGCAAATGCTTTCGTATATTTACTTTTGTAATTCTCAGAGACCAGGAGAGAAAAGAAAAGATAATACATGAGAGAACAACAATGTGCTGCTGGATAGATGATAGGTCCGTGTATACAAAACCACAGGTATACAAATAGACCCACAGCTACAGATGGTGGCAGGCTTGCAAATATATCCACACACACTATTATACAGCCCGTATGTCTTTCTCTTTCTGTATTTCAAGGATCATGATCATAAACATTGTACTCCCTTTAGCCAATATTCAAAAGCCATTCATATTAATATTACGCTAAGCTGCTTTTCGCTTGCATTGCAGTAATCTTACTAAGGCCTACGGCAAAAATGCCAGAAAACATTGATCATTTCCAGCTTTAAAAAAATATATTTTTACTACATTTTCTTTAGCATATTAAGTTTTATTTATTTATCTAAACCCAGGACCATACAGCTATATGATATGTGCCCTAGAGGCAAGGCCAGCAGGAGGACATTAATAAACTGCCTCAGAATGAAAAAAAACAACAATAAATTTCCTGATCAAGAGGACCCTTTGTACATGTCCTTCATGCAAGTTAATGCAGCTTTTTTCCCCTGTTGCAAAGATGAAAAAATAAAACAAAAGAATTTGTAGGAGCCTATGTCAGTGTGATTCCTGCAATGCATTCTGGGTGAACAAGTGGAGGAGTGTTTAATCAGAAAACAATTTGCTATGCAGCCTGAAGCAGTGCTGCTTAAAGCAGCAGAGAATGCCTCTGATTATTACTCTGTTCACGTGATGGAATATTATAATTGGTAAAACTGACTCCTGGTGACACAAATATGTAACTTTCAGTAAAGCTGTACTGTAATAGGCCTAAAAACTCTCTAAAAATTAGGACAAATAGGCAAAAAATACTCCCTGAAAGCAGTTTGCTGACATTCCTAGACAGGACAATATGCATAAGTAATGAAAAGAAACCAAGAAACTGACTACTGTCAGTTATAAACACACAAACAACTTGCTCCCCAGTACAGCAACTAATCAATATTCTGGTAAAGGTCTCACTCATCAGAGAATTAATATATATATATATATAGTATATACTACCTATATATATATTCATATATGTATAATATACACTACCCTACAAATAAGGGGTATATATATTGCCACACGTTTACACTGTTGAGTTCGCATTCCGCCTATGCTTGCTGTCCATTATTGTGAATGCTACTTATGACAAACCATTCATGTAAATACTACCTATTTAAAACTCCTAGTAACCTGTTATCGTCAGGTAGTGACTTTATCATCGCAACAGTGAGTCACAAGTGACCTGTGTCGAGTCATTGGCGCTGCTTTTTACAGACCATTAAAATACCATTAAGTGCAAGCATAAATTATCCAAATGTCTGTTGTGACGTTCCACTGTTATCCATAAAAGCTTTTCTGAAATGCAGTAGAAGTACACTTATGAAGCTACTGTAATTCTGCTGCCTAAAAAGCGTTTCCCCAAGCTTGATTGAAAAATGAATGTAGGGCCTGTTTGTGGAGGTTCGTAGTGATGCAGACGAATATTTTCCACAAACGGAAATGAACCCGAAGTATTTGCTCTGTTAACTAGAGCTTAAATTGCCTGTTTCCTCCAGGGATGTTTACTCCTTCACTCACAAGTTAAGATACCAACGTCTCATATAGAGTAATACTGTTTGTAACAAGAATGACAGTTGGTGGCTGATGAGAGGAAAGTTTCAACAATGTTGTTTGTCTCAGTCAAAAACAGCAGCTTTAAACTTGCAATCTTAATTTTGAGCACACGATTTTAATATTGCTTAAAATGACTTCTCACTAATATCCAAACACACCTATATATTTTAAAAAAATACTTTTGTGTTTAAAAAAGAAAGAAAGATTAATACATTAAATTTGTTGTGTATACTTAAATGTATCGTTGTTGTATGGTGCACTCATTTAATGAATTTCACTTTCAGCCATCACACTACTACTCAACAACTGCCATGGATTTGGGAAACCGGGATGAATACACTGCCAGTAAACGAGTCAAATATTGGCCCACCCAGTTTCAGCCAATGAGGTCAAGAGTCACAGACGACGGCCAGCAGGGAAGGAACAGCTGGAACCACTACAGCAAAGTGACGCTGGTGCTATAGCATGATCGGCTGAGGGAGACGGGGGGGGGGGGGGGGGGGGTGCTGATATATATGCTGGGGATAAATGAGAGACAGTTTTGCAAAGGGAGGCTGTATGGAAACAGAGAGGTTGTGAGGGTAACACATGGCAGGTATCACTGTGGCTGACATTTTTAATATGCATCTCAGGACTTTCTGCATGTCATGTACTGACAGTGGCCTTGCAATATAAACAAACAACCCCACAGCTGTCAACAGAGTTTGATTCAAAAGTTGCTCAATCATGATTGATCCAAGGAAAAACATGAACATGACCACCTTTTTCAACGGAGCCCCATCCTCTTCAGACCAGGGACCCAAGCACAGACGAAACATTTCTGATGTGAAATAACCACAGCTGTCCCACATTTGGCAGAAAATTGTTTTGCTTTTGTGATTAATAATCCTAATGCTAAGAACCTGATTGAGGCTTTAATGCCTGTACATGGAACAAGGCTGATGTGGTTCACTGTGATGAAGTACCTGTCTTAATTATATTTTCGTGTCGGCAAGTTGATTTTTACGCAGTACTGAAATAAATGTAAGCCAGTGGCTGCCTGGAGAAACCCTATTTATCAATCTAAACAGCCTGGATGGAAAAAGGTTAGTTTTGAAACCTAAATAATCTGCACTTGTGAAACATTTATTGATCGAGTGGTATTGATAAATAACCCCATGAAATTATATATTTAATTAGGTCATTTGGAATAAGGGCAGTTGGAAAAAGTGCACAGTTGCCTCTGTAATGTTCTAAACAGAGAGTTGTACACACATACTGCACAAAACTCTAAGGTTTTCGTCTCATCATCATCTTCCTCCATCTTCCTTCTGCTTCCTGTTACATCATAGGTGTGGGCCAGCAACTTCCTGCCTAATGAGCCGGCTCTGTCAGACCGCTGTCAGAGAGCATACTACAAGAAGCATGGAGAGCCGCTGCTGCTTCAATACGCCAGACAAGAGGCTGAGAAAAAGGTACAGCTATACACAGTGGTAAACATTCTTGGAATTCATATTGAATAGCACAGAAAATCTCTAATGTATGCATTGGGTGAAGATGTGCAACAATTCTGGGATTGGAGGCTATAGAGGTCATAGGCAGTTTGTAGGATTCATTGGCATCTGACAGTGAAGTTTCAGATTACAACTAACGGAACACTGTTTACACACTCTATATTTGACAACCTGGGAATGAAAGCGAACTGTGAAGTGCGTAGGAGAAACTACGATGGCTGCAATCTCACGTAAAAAAAAGAAAAGCCCTGTCTACAGCCAGCGTTTGGTTTGTCCGTTCTGTGCTACTGTACAAACATGGTGTTTCAACATGGCGGACTCCATGGAAGGCGACCCATGGCGTCTGTAGATAAAAAGGTGATTATATACTAATAAAAATATTATATTCCATTTCTGCCAATAGAACCTCCTAAATGTGACACACTGGACATTTAAAATGCATGTTTGACTGAATGAAGTGCTTATAATAAACTTCAGAGGAAATCGTTTAAAAATGTCTCTAAATACGAGATTTTTGCTAAACATCATATTTTTCTCACCACGGCTGCCCTCATCGCCTCTTCCTTCCTCCATCTACGTCTACCTTTCCCCTCTCTTTCTCTTTCTTAATCTTTCTCTTTTTTTCCCCCATCAGCATCCTCTGCCTGTCTTTCAGTCAGTGAAGCGTGTGATTGGACAGCAGAGACGCTCATTAGCATAATGCTGCAGCATCCATCTTCAACCTGCGTGAAGATTAGGAAAACAGACTGTGCGTGTGTTTGAATGATTTTCCAGCCATGTGTGTTGAACATCAGCAGCAGTAACCATGGAAGACAACAGAGCCCTGAGCACATTAAGCATGTTGGCAAATGTCTTATTAGTAAGCAGACATTTGGTGAAAACCCGGAATTAACTCTCTACTGGAGAATTAAACTTGACAGAGCCATGACTTTTTTGTTTTGCTCCCTTGAGCTGTAGAGATAGGGCTCACTTATGATAAAAAAGATTGAATACACTTAATATCATATTCACAGCTAAAACCCTTCTTAAGACTGGTTTCAGTTATGTTTATCCAGTGAAATCCAATGTGCCACCTGTTTAGCTCGTCCTATAATTATTTGAAGTCACTTTGTTTCACCTTCCTCCCCATGTTTTTTCTTGTGCTGGTGTGATCCAGTGTTGTGCAAGTTTCTGTTTTAGTCCAAATGGGAAAAAAACCCTTCATGCCATTATCTTTTAGCATTTAATTTTAATTTTGTACAAGCTTTGAAAAACAAACAAGCAGAAATATTAAGCCCATTTTCTTTGCTTATTGCATCCAGATTACTTAGTGTTTGTTCAGATGTGTTGACAGTTGTGTCACCAAATTAAAAGTCAGAGATAATTTTTTCCCAGAAATTATGAATCTATAGGCCATAGAAAATGCAAATAGAAACTTTTATTTATATTTGTTATTTTTTGGTTTGGATAGAATTACTATTTTAACACCATCTCAGAAGTTTGGGCAAACTAGAACTGCAATCTATTTTCAGTTTTTCACTTAAGTGGGTCTAATCTTTGCAACTTGTTCACGTTCCCGGGAACAAATCATAGCCATTATTTGTGTTGATTAGCCACTTCACACACAAAACTTAAATCCACTTGGGGTCTATCTTAAGAGGAGGGCCTTTCTACTCTTTTTCTACTCTTCAATCAAAGCTGATTCTTTTGAGTGACTAAAGGAACATTATTTCATCCATCTCCAAGAGTAGTTGGAGAGGGACAATGAGCTTGATGATAGAGTATAAAATTGACCAAAGGAGTTTGAGCATGAAATAGGACTAGGCAGAAGAAAGAAGTTGAACAGAGAAGGAGAGGGAACAAAAGGAGGAGGTAGAAGAGTGGACGGAGACGAGTAAGGAAAGAGACACTGAGTCACAGAGAGAGAAATGTTCAGGTAAGAAGGAAAAGAGAAATCAGACAGCCACTGATTCATTCAGGGAATGAGCTGATAGCTGTTCTGCTGGCAGAGTGTGTGTTTGTGTGTGCGTGTCTACAAGAGAGAGACGGTGAGAGGGGGGATAGCATTAAGGTTTCGAGAAGAGCCGAGTAGACACTAGACAGCTGCTCATGGGGACTGACCTTTATAAAATCAGAGTGGAAGCAGAAGTGTGTGTGTGTGTGT